ACAAAGGCATCCTTTTTGGCTTCTAGAATTAAAAATCTTGACTAAAACATCTCACTTTTCAAACATCTAGTCCTCTCAAAGATGTGCACCACACACACCTTCCTCCTTCAAAGATTCTGAAAAGGCCAAACACCCAGACTCAGAGTCCAAACATAGACCTTACTCTGTGTGCACAAAACACCACAGTAATTGATCATTTCAAAAAGCCAATGGCATATGGTGGCATTTGCATCCCAACTGAAGAAACTGCTTATCAGCAAACTGAACAGAATTTTGGATGTGAAGAAATCTTAGAAATCATCTAGTTAAACCTTTTCATTTTATAGGAGGGAAAATTGAGGATTAGGGCAATTAAATGACTCAAGGTCAGTGCTGATAAGTGGCAAAGACCAAGGCTTCCAACTCCTCGTGTTCTTTAAATTATACTCGACTGCCTCTTTTCTGGAACAGAACAAAACAAACTACTCAAACAGCCTTAGGAGATTTGTGCATTCTTTTGCTTGTCAACTGCTATAATATTTTTGGAAATCACTGTCAAAAACCACACTATGAAAATAAACAAAAGGATTTGGTGGGAATATCAAAACCTGCAGAGGAAGGGGTATGTTTAGTTCTCAAAAGTATAAGTATATTCATTATATGTATAATAATAATAGCAGAAAACACTTTATATGTTTTAAGGGCTTTACATATATTAACTAATTTAATCTTCAAAACCACCCAAGAAGTAGTTTCCATTATCATTGACACTTCAGGGATGTGGAAACGGGGGCGTAGAAAGTTTAACAAACTACCAGGGCCACAAGCTAAGAAGCAAGGAGTCGGGACTTAATCCCTCGCCATCTTGCTCTGTCTCTGCTTTTAATCACAACATTATTATACTACATCACTGCTTCATAATACAAAGTACAAACAGTAAACTTGACATTTCCCTGGTTCATAAACATGCTCAGTAGAAGATCCAATTTTTAAAGGTTTATGGAGGTTAACAAAGATTTTAAAACACTCTTAACTACAACCTTATGACTCACCAAACCTTTCAGCAAATCTGCTAATAGAGTAATAACACGGCAACTCTAAATCTTTTTCCTATATGAACCTCAAGTTAAAAAGGAGAGAGAGATTAAGGAGGGAAAGGAACAAAAAAGGCAAAATAAGAGAACTAAGCTATTCACAAACTACACAATCAAGTTCCTGAATAATTGACAGTTTGCCAATATTCATGTTGGGATGAATCTCTCAGATCAATTCCTCTGAAAAAAATGGCTGAAAGCAAATTCAAAACATCCTGTTTCAAATTTAAGACTTTTCAATACTTCCAAGAAGAGATGCAAAAGAAAAACTTAGGATGTAGAAAGTACTGATATTGTGGCACCATATAAGAAGAGAGAAAAATATTTATTACTAAAACTACACCATCTTGTTATTAAAGAATACATAACTGGAGAGCAAGAACAAGTATTGGTCTATTCAGATCTCAAAAACTGTCATGTGAGCTATCTGGGCCATCTTCCCTTTGGCTTACCCATAAGTACTATAAAAATGGCCACACAGCCTTATCTTAGACTCAGACTCCACAAAGTCTTAAAACGTTCAAAGTCCAAGGCATAAAAATCTACAACTCCAATCTGCTTGCCATTATTTTATATGCACTGTAAACTTCCTTGAGTTTACACACTCAGCTCTGGCTCACTGGCGCCCTGTCCTCAGTAAGCGAGATCACACGCATTCACTCAACAGGTCCCTGCTGGTGCAGCAGTTTAGTGTTGCTGCTGTTTTTAAAGTCCACACGGCCTGATGCAAACACATTAAAGGCACCTAAATCAGCCCGACTTAGATCAGAATACAGAGTTTATATCTACAGAGCTGTCTTGGTATAATTTCTAACTTTGCTTCATGGAGAACAGAGCTCGTGACTTGATTATCGTAAAGGACTAGCAGGAGAGGGAAGAGAGAGAATGGAAAATGATAAGCAGTCCAGTTACGTCTTCTTGTCCTCCTCAGGTGGCTTAGTTTACCTAGGCAGACGATAGTAAAGGGACGTAGTGAACAGAATGATGAGGACCGTCCACACAGAAATGAGTGCCAAGCTGAACTCTGATAGAAAAGGAAGGGCGAAGGCAATGGGATGCCTCCCCACCTTCACCGTAAAAGCATGTTTTTTCATAGTTATTGCTGACCTTCCTACAGAGCATCTCGCACCACAGACTAATGTAATAATCACTAAGTAAGCATGGAGTCCCTGAGCCATATTCCACAATCTTGATTGACTCATCACAATCTAATAGGAAGAAGAACACCAGCAGGAAAGGAGATGCAGAAGCCCACGAGGTAAGGCGGGGATTGATCCTAACACTTCCCTCTGTCACTCGAAAACAGAAATTACCTAGAAAATGGCAAGGCTGATGACCCCAGAGAGGCAAATTCATGAGTTCTGACCAGATTTAAGGAATTTCTCTTTAGCTCTAAACTTCTCTCTAGCTCTATGACAATTAATCTAGAAATCATTTCAATAAATATTTTAGAAAATCAGCATTGCTAAGAATTGATTGAATGAAGAGAAGGTTCTGTTCATCATTTACTTAACAGACTGGAGAAACACCAAGATCACTCGGCTGAGTAAAATGAGTTGATTCTCTTAGTCAAATTTCTCACACAAACCATGAGCAGCATTTGGTTTTCCTCTGTGGTCAGCGATGCCAACATCCAGACCTTGGATTCTTTTCCAGAACAGGCCTCATTCTCTAGAAATGGGACTTTCTGAGCCCAGAAGGGATGCTGTGATCTACCGAACCATAAAGCCCACTGGTGTTCTCGTTTCCAAAAGAAGTCTAATCCTTAATATCCCTAGACTGTTTTTCCAAAGGCCCCTAAACACACAAAGCCTTCTGTTTGAAGTTTACCCTCCTCCCTAGCAAGCACAAGGACATACCTTCACGTTTAAAATAACTTTATTACATCTTTGAAAGCAGCAACCCTTTATTTTCTAGTGGATCTGCTGCCTTTCAACTCTCTCAGGTATCTTTCTTCATGTCAAAAGCAGTTAATTTTCCTTCTCTAAAAGCTCTAAGGCAGAAACCTCCCACTTAGCATTAACCACCAATTAACAAAGCATAGAGCATATCTCTATACGAATGTGTGTGAATGGATGAGGGCGTATGGTGTGTGTGCACCTATGGGACCACAGACATTTAGACAAACGTACATAGTAACACAGCTTATAGAAAATGAATAGTTTAAATAATTAACGTAGTTGTCCTTATAATAATGTATTAGGTACATACAAATTTAAATATGTGCTTTTATCTATATGTACAGATATTACATACATATTATAGTTTGTGAAATTTACCTTCACTTTAACTTTTACATCTATAAGATTTCTAACAGTATTAATAAATATATTATGGCTCCTTTCTATGATTAAAAACACTTAAAAGAATATATTTTTCTCTCTAGTAAATGCCCTGAATTATGGTCTGATCATCTTTTTCATTGAAAAAGATCAGGTCTCTCCCTCTAAATACTTTAGAATTTAAGCAATTGGAAACGGAAGCAATTGTGTCAGAGAAATCAACTCTTAATTCCATGTGCAGATAACCCTGGCTTCACTTTACAAAATACTCTAAGAACCTGTATTTCATTTAAATTGCTTACAATTCCAGAAGGTCCAAGTAGGAGCTTTAAATTTTGCAAAGCATCTCCTGCACAGGCCGGTTGAGCCCTGGTGTGCTCAATATTTTATCATGTGAGAACAGCATTTCATAGAACAGGATGGAACACACAGTAGCAGGTTTAGAAGGACATATTTACATATATATACACTGATAGTCTGAAAGGACACACAGTAATATGTTAACAGTGATTTTTTTCTGGGTGGATTTCAGGAAACTTTTTCTACTTATCTGCTTCTTCCATTTATTCCTATAAGAACATCCCTCCTATTGTTTGTTTAATAAGTCTGCTGAATGGAAAAGGAAATCTATGCTTACAATCATTCCACAAACACCAAAATACACAATGAATCCATTTATAAAACGTGTATACCAAGGAGCAGATCTATCAAAATCTATTGTGACTCAGATAAAAAATACTGTACAGTGTATTTTGGGGTCTCAGTCAGTGAACGGCATCTTGGCCACCACGGCCTGTATTTAGACTCAGTGCGGGCAGGGGAGGTGGAATGGGGCAACCCTCACACAGAAGACAACATGGTGAGAGTCTATGTGCATGATTGATTCTAACTGGCCTGGTCTAGGTATGGACCCATTCAGGAGCACATGCTCCATTATCCATGTCAAAGTAACAAAAGGAGTAGTGTGACATTCTGCGTGAAATCTCCCATTCCTGTGCAGGGCCGTGCTGTGGGGCAATGAAAGACCTTTTATAATTCTTATAATTCTGAATGATGCTGACACTTAACTACCCTCCTAGGAACCAGAACAGAAGTTAATGGGCCTGTCCAAAAAGGCTCCATAGAACTCAAGAATCTAAAACGCCCAGACTCAGGTGTGTTCCAGCACGGCTCTTGTTCCTCTCTCTTTATATATACAGTACGTGAAATACAGAGGTTACAAGAAAAAATCTAGGGTAGGGAGTATAAGACGTCTGGGCCAGAACTCTTAAGAAAAACCTCACATCACAGTACCAAAATTTCTCTCATACTGCAGAGATGTGAGGTGCTATCAGCATATAATAATGCTTTATTCTTATTCAGACTAAAATATCAATCCCTAGGCGAGATGATCTTATTACAGGCTTACTGTGTGAACACATTGCATATAGTCAGTTATCACATGTTAAACCCCACACACCCCACAAAGACATTTTCGACAGAGTGGTAGGACATATGTGGGTGGCTCCCCAACCCCCCAAAGGAAGTGCCGTACTCAGCTTTTAGTGCCTGTATATGCTTGACTGCAGCTGGCCCTCTGAGGAAAGCCTATCCACAGACCTGTTCCAAGAGCTTTGCTTCGATCTGGGCAAACCCCCACACTTACAGCCATAAATGCATTGGCACTGAGAAAGACTGCTGAGGATGTGGCACTCCAGGTGTGGCTTTATTTTTCACTTCACCGGGTCAGCTATTTAGGCCTAGTCTTCTCCATTGGCTTGATGCTCTGTTCACACCATCTTGGGTAACACATCACATTATTCTTCCTTATAAAAACAAATAAACTCAAATGAGCATTCAGAGACAGTTCACCCCTCCGAACACCTCTGCTTTCCCCTCTGATTTATGTGACACGCTTTTGATCCCACCCATTCCCAAGCCTCCCACACTTTCAGCTCAGGAATGGCCAGATGCCCTCCTTCACTCCTCGGGTTTCCCACCTTCCTTGCCTCTGCAGACGTGCACAGCCCTGAGGATCTCAGCCTGCTGGCCACCACTGAGTCACCAGGAGCACAGCACTGCAGTACCTAGCACTACCCGCCATCAACTACCGCCACTGAGTCAAGACACTGTACTCTTCACTTCCCACCCTACAGAAAAACTTGTCCGTCCTGTGAAGATGGACCAAAAAGAAAAAAAAAAATGTTTTCATACTTATAATGGCTCCCCTCTGAACCAGTGCATCTGAAATTTATACAGTTCTGGAGAACAAGGTGCTGGATACATTAGTTCCTAGCCGATTCTGTTCATAGCAGCTGGTTTCTAAAATAATTGGTTACTCTGAAATAACTCCAATCCACTTACATGCAATACAGTGCCCCCGTTTAAAATCAACGGTCAAAAATAAAAGTTACAATTCAATAAGGCATCACATGTTTCATAACTGAGTGTGGAGAGAAGGGGTATGAGAAATAATCAGGCCTCCTGAAGAATCCAGCCGGGGAAGCTGGTTTACTGAACTCCTCGAGTTGCATTTTCCATTCTCCCAGCCACTTGCAAGTATGGACCTTCTCAATTCCAGCCGCCAGTGTTTCAGACTACAGTCCCTTGCAAGAAACTGACAGTCTGATAATTTACGAGCACGTTGGGCAACACACAGAGAGACTTTGCACAAACAGTGAGAGTTAGAGCTAACACACAGACAGGAAGGAAAAATGGAATGCCTTATCAGAACAGAGGGTTTCTATCTTTCATAGATAGCACATTGTTTGATACATACGTCTGCACTGACGTATATCATAGGAGTTTTTTTTTTTTTTTAGTTATAATCTGTTTATTTAGTGGTTTAGCCAGAGAACCTTATATAACACATTCCTGTTTCAAATGTAGCAACCTGTATGGCATTGCACTCAGAGAAAATTCAGACTCCCCACAGCAGGTCCCATTAGTCACCCCAATCATTTTACGCTGCAAGGTTTCTATATAATTGATGAAAAATCAAGAACTACCACTAGCAAGAGTAAAAGAAAGATTCAGCAATCAGCTTTACCCTATATTCAAAAGCTAGCAGTCTGATGGTATAATTTTAGAGATTTTAGCAAACCATATTCATCCTGATTTTCATAGATTACATGAGCCTGACCTATGGAGGGAAAGGAGTCCAGTTTTCTAAGCCAAAACACACGTGAGCCTACTTCAGCCTTCCAGGGTAGAGCACAGGATCACTCCGTCTGCCTCAGCGCTGGGGTGTTACATGACCACAACCTTCGCATCTGATTTCCTTAACAAAGAAGCCGTAGATCTGCACGCTGGTTTGGCCAGAAAGCCCATAATACAGCTGCAGCTGAGGAACTTCCATTCATGCTAGCTCAATAAACAATGTGTATTATATAATGAATGAGCCTTTCCTAGGAACCCTGCTATTGGAAAACACAGGCACTTTCTGCATACTTTAAGCCAGTCTACAAGGAGCAGTTAGTTACCCCTCGTGAGATCAAATGTGGACCGAGTAATGTATAAATCCAAACAGCTTACACTCTTAGATGCCTTTGCTATCACCCTAATTTATTTTTGCTTGACAAGAAATTACATAATAAAGAATAATTTCAGTTAACTCTAAACTATACAGAGAACATTGACACAGCAGCCAGCAAGCCCCCAAGTGATGTTAGCTTTCAGCTCCATGTTCCCTGCGTTGCCTAAGAAATAAGGGGGTGGGGGGGGGGGGCAGTGGGAGGAGGAAGAGGAGGGGAGAGAGAACCAGCTATCTATGAAAATACTTACAGCCTCCGAGTCTTCAATTCCATGCAGGTACAAATTGTCATACATGGAGGTCTGATAATCCAGAGCGCCTCTTCCCAGGCAAAAACAAAATTGCTACAGAAGCCACAGCTGGAGCTAAAAGACAGAAAAGGCCTTTGTGGAAGAACTGCGCCTGCCTTATCAATTCCTGTGGGTTCACCAGGCAAGATGCTATTCATTCACATCCCACAGGGTGAGGCTATCCCCAGAGGCAGTCCAGACCTGGCATTTATTCTGCCTTCCCAACACAGAGCATAAAAAAGCAAAACCCTTCCTCAACCACAGACCGGTGACTGAGCTAGGAAAGCGCCCTCTGATTGGCTCGGTTTCCCTGCTTCAGTCAGCTGAAGAGCGTTCCCTCGGAGAGCGGAGGGCGACTCAGAGCATCCTACACAGCACAGAGCTGCTTCCTGTTTCCCCTGTATCGTAGAGTTCTGCAAGAAACACTTAATCAGTATCTAAAGGGCTGCTTGGAATGTTTGGAAAGGCAGACTATTGAATACTCTAAATGCAACTGCTCATCCAATTAAATTCGCAACTGGAAGAGGGTGAGGGAGCAAAGGAGAAATTTTATCTTCAGAGGATATTGTGTAAAGACAGGTGAACTGATACTAATCTCCATCCGACATCTGTACTTAACAGACGCAATTTAAGTCAAATGGGCAATAAGTCATTTAAATTAAAAAGAAAAGGGGAAAGGGAAAATGAATCAAATAAGCAGATGGTAAGCTTTTTTTGTGGGAATTTCTAGTGTAAAACTTTTCAATATTGTCACTAGTCTCTCTGCCTCACTAGGAAGAAAACACCTCTGCGACCCAATCAGGGAAGTTTTGAAAAAGAAACCAAAAGCTCTCAAAAGCCTTTATCTAGATGCAAAATTTTTAATGTCTCTTTAGTTTGATTTTTTTAACCACTCGCTGTTAAGCAAGAGCCAATGTTTTAGGTTAAATCCTTCATCCCTTTTCCAGTGCTTAGACATTTAATATTCCTAAAACAGCACTGATCTCTTCCAAAAAACCCAAACAGAAAAGTCCTACTAGCCGTCTTCTGCTCCAACCACACCACAACTCAGTTTGCCCTAGGACAGGTCTCGCATCGGAGCTTACCTAGATGTAATACTTAAAGCTTTCTGGTCAATCAATAAAGTACTGCAGCTTTGAAACAGGAGAGTTCTACAGCGCACACTAAAAGAAGCCAGTTAAATTTGGAAACAAGGAGTTGGTGAGGGGCAAAGAATATAATCTAGAGAAGCTACATGACTCATTGGGGTAACAATGACCCAGAAACTCAGAGACACTGAGTCCAGCATCAGCTTCCCCCCTAATTGGTTGGATGACTCTGGACCAGTCACCACTTCTATGGGCTTTTGCTTCTTCACCTGCCAAATTGAGGTAAGAAATAACTCAGAGAAAGAACTTTGCAAGTCTAAAGTGCAACATAAACACTTACCAATGACAACCCTGCTTTGTCAGCCAGAAGGCATTGGCTGCAGTTCATGGGAGCTCAGCACAGGAGTAACTGGCTGGCCCTGGACCTAGAAACGAGGCCTATCCTTCTAGCCAGTATCTCTGAAAAGTGCAGCTCTTAAAGGAACAAACCTGAGTCACAAAAAGCAACATAAGAGCTACAACTGCTGAGCAGAGCACAGTTCTTTCAGGTCTGCACTGACCCATTATGGTCTCTCAATCACACTTGCTCACCTTGGAAACAGCACCAATACTTGGTCACTTTCAAATGCAAAAGACAGCAAGGGGACTCACCATCCTTCAGAACCCAAAAATGGTAGGGTTCATACAGGATGTCACCTGTGCCTACACAGAGGGACAATGGCAGAAGAGGATGAGTGGAATCGGCAGGATTCCATAGAAAGGAACCCAGCGCCAGCTCTACCTGTTGACAACTGTCCTGGAGCAAGTCACTTCCCAGGCTGAACCTCAGCTCTCCCCTCGAAAAAGCAAGAGAACTGAAGCAAAGGATTGGTAAGCTCAAATTCCTGTATCAGATGCTGCTATTTTAACTAACTCTATAACTACCGTCATGATATTTTAGTCAAAATCTACAGAAAATTGAGGCGAGAAGGTCTTTTTTCTCCTTAGATTTTCCAGATCATTTCCTTACTTTACCACTTCAATTGAGAGTATCGATATTTCCTCAGTATCTTTAAATAGGGATCTAAATTATGGGGAAAAAAGAGGCAGTCCACTTCCATAATTCAACAAGATGAGAGAAACGGCTCCCTACTGGAAAAACTGTACATGGCTCAGTTCCTCGCCTCTGTTTTCTGGCCTCAGAGTGCTCCCTACAGCTGATGTGAGCGTCTAAAGGAAGCTTTTAAAGAGCGAAGGCTCATTTTGCGATAGACTGATGCATGCAGTAAGCACGTCTGACTCAGGGTGGGATGTCAGGAGGGAGGCAGTGGATCAAGCAGAGCAGCCTGTGGTTACTGGCCGCACCCCTCCACCCAGCCCTTCGAGGACTAAGAGCAGATGTGAAGCAGGGGCAGCCTAGCTCTGCCTGGTTCCCAGGAATTTAGAAAACTGGTGGACTCAGAATCACAAACTATTAGGGGTGGGAGAACCCCAGAGGTCACCTAATCCAATCCTCATTTTAATACCCAGAAAGGTTAAATTGCTTTATTCAGAGCCATAATTTTCTCTGAGTGTTCCTTCTACACTCCCTTCTTGATGGGGGTTTCAAGACAAGGGATAAGGGACAGTGGGCATGGTCCCAGGAGGAATTTGGTGAAATGGAAGGAGGTCACTTTGGTAGGAAACACCCTATTTTTTCCCACACCTTTCATTCTAAAAATTGTCTAATCACAAGTCATTTGGTCACTCCCAAGCTGACAACTGAAAATCAACTAACACACTGGGGAGCTTGCCCGCAGGGTTTGGCTCTACCCAGAATAAGCAACGTACCTGCAAATCACCCTAAGGCGTCAACCCAATACTGAGGCTGATCCCAGAGCTCCGAGGAACCCTAAAGACAGACTCAGCTCTGGACTCCCCAAAGGAACCCTGAGGAGTTCCCAGAAAAACTCAAAATTCCAAGAGGATCTTGAAACTGACCATCCCTGTCCCAAGATTCTCTGTACTGAGAGCTGGCTTAGCAGAGAGAGGTCCCTGGAAGCTTCCTGGGCCTGTGTTAGATCACCTCAAGTCACCAGCTTTTGGTGAAAGGGCCTCAGGATACCAGCAGGTCTGAGTTCTGAGGGCCAAATTTCAAGGCTATCACACTTCACTGCAGCAAGAGGTGAAAAGCAGCTAAGGGATCGGCACCCTCTTGGTTCTGACTTGAAGAGTTCTCCAGTTCAGGGATTACTTGAGAGGATGAAAGCCTTCCCCTCTACCTCGGGCTACAAAGAGGAGAGTGTGAAAATCTTGTGGCTTGTCTTGTGTGGGTGTTTCTCAGGAACCCACCTTCTTCTCACTACTGAGCACTTCCAAAACTACACAGTCCCCAAAAGGCTAACTCTCATTTTGAAGTTGCTCTGCTGAATGTGTTTCTGATCCACATCCTTTCAAGTTATCTCTCATTATGATCAACAGTTCCAAAGACCCTATGAAAAGGCATGTGCTGTATGATTCTATGTTATAAATTCTGCATGATTCTTGGTGGGGAGATTATTCTTGCGATTTGACAAATGGCTCAGCTGAGCTCCATTCGGTGGAGGGAACGGTATGGTCCTCAACAAATCAGGAACGCATTCCTCTGTATCTCACGGGAACATTACTTTCGCTTAGTTTGTGTTGGCTTCAAGCTTAAGGACATGGAGTTCCTTGCCCTTACCTGAGCCGAGCTTTGTAGTACAGCAAACCTGAGGAGTCGATAGTGGAATACAAAGGACAAGCATTTCTCTTTTCAATTTGTTTGGAAAAGGAGGAGAGGAGGGAGAGAAAAGCCAAGCATGAGCTGATTAGCTCCAAGTTTTAGATAGCATGATCAAGACAAAAGGAAACTGCACTATCTAATTTTCCACGTAGATTTCTCCAAATTTAACTTTTTTAAGCCGGTGTGGTTATGTATTCCACAGCAGGACTCTGAGAGGTCAGGGAAGAGACACAGGAACAGTGTTGGGACTAAGCAAGGACGGACTAGCCCTTTCATTGGCTCTGTGGGCTGGAACACAAACCCAAGGCCTTTGCTTGCCAGTCAGCCTTGGGGATTATTTTGCTGTCCGTTTTTGTTTAAATTTTGACTAAGTCACTACAGTGTGCTAGATGATTTTCTCCCTCTTCTGCTCTGCAAGTATTTAATCCACTCAATTGAGTCTAGAAGTCTGTGTGGCATTGCAAGCATTAATGTGGTAACCCCTGATTCCTCCCTGATGTGCTTCACAGAGGTGGTACAGGCAAGACAGATGAAGGAGTGAAAACAAAACAAAACAAAACACTACAGACTGTGGGTCCCCCTTTCGACAGTCCTCCGAGTTTGACTTCAGACTTCGCTATGTAGGCAGGCATGTCCTTGAGTCTCTATGGGCCTCATCTGTAACACGGGGATAATCATAGTTCCGGACTTAATGAGTTAATACATGAAAGGCACATAGAAAGTGCCTGGCGCATAGCAGGCAGAAGGGAAGAATCAGCCTTCTTTTTGTTTAAGGGAAGTGGTATGGAATCAGGGCCACCTACGTCACCCAGCTCCAAGGGACCCCCACACACTGCAATTTGTGTGAATGGTGCTCCCCGGCGTGGTGTAACAGGAATACTATGGAGCAGGGGGGTTAAGAGCAGGGATGGGAGCCAGACTGCCTGCAGATCCCCACTGTGCCACTTCCCAGCTGGATAACACTCAGCAAGCTAATTTGCCTTTCTGTGCCTCCATTTCCTCATTTACGAAATGAGGATTAACCTAAGATTATTGTGTAGATTAAAAGCCTTAATACAAGAAAGTGCTCAGAATGGTGCCTAGCACAAACTCAGTGCTCCACAAGATCAGCACTTGTGCAACTGGCCTGAAGCCCTGGTGCCCTTTGTCCCTAGGGTGGGATTCCTATTACCACTCCTGACGCTGGCCTGGTCCTCTCAATTCCCACCTGGGCTCCCAGTCTCAGCCAGCAGAGCTGAGACCAGCATCCTGCCTCCTGTTTTGCCCTATTTACCTTCATGCCAGCCTCCTCCCGGCTGCCTACCTGCTTCATCTGGCCAAACTGATTGCTCCTTATGCTGAAGCTGGCATGCAGGCCCAGGCCTCCTCGGCCTGACAATACCTCAACCCTTCAGCCACCCCGCTGAACTCCACATCTTTCCTGTGTGCCCCCGGGGTACCCAGCACTCTCATGCTGGCCTTCCCAACAGCCTGGCTTCTCACCAAACTAGAATTCTGACCTCCATCACCCCCACCAGCCACTCCTGGACTGCCCCAACCCATCACAAACCACTGCCAAGAAAACGTCCCTATGAAAATCCTGTAACACACACTACTATTTAGTTCTTACCAAGGAGGCAAGAGGAGAGTGAGAAAGACAGAAAGAAACAGAGACAGGAATAAAGAGGCAGAGACAAAAAACCCTGGAGACACTCAAAGGAAGAATGAATCTGTGGACTAGCTTTCCTCCTCTCGGCCATTCTTGATGGCTCCAGGAGAAAATAAGACTTCATAATTCACAAAAGAGTGAATGTAGGTAAGGTAAAAAATTCCCATGGCCTATTCAACTTGCCAGAAAATGACAGATCCCTCCCTGTGATTGACGTATTACTCAGAAATCTCTCGCTTTCTGCAATTTCTGTTCAACAAAAAATGTCGATCTCTTAGCAAAAACATTCCGTACAGCCACAATTTTCATTAACGCTACACAACTTTGTTTTCCACGCTTCTCCAAAATGAACCAAGGAGACTCGTCCAGCTGGTCTCCTCCCTGTCGCCTATACATCGTTTAGCTAATATTATCAATGCTAATTGAACAATTACAGCTTTCAATTG